CATTGATTGCATTTAAAGGGTTTCATTCCAAAATGAATTTAATCACAGTCAATAAGACTGACTTACTGCTAAAATTTTTAGGACTTCTCTCCCATGTGACTTCTCTGGTGTCTTATAAGGTTTGACTTCTGAATGATGAGCTTTCTGAAAATTCTTGCACTCACAAAGGTTCTCTCCAGTATGAATTTTCTGATGGATAAGGGAATTTTCTTTCTGAATAAATGATTTTCCATAACTATTACATTCAAAAAGCTTTTCTCCAGTGTGGGCATTCAGTGTTTAATGAGATCAGTGAGATTAATGTCTTTGACTAAAGGCTTTCCCACACTTATTACATTCAAAAGATTTTACTCTAGTTTGAAAATGCTCATGCTTGGTGAGACTGGATTTGTGGCTGAAGATTTTCCTACACACTTTACAGGCAAAGAGGTTTTTCATACTACACTTTCTCTGCCGATTGAGGTATCACATCAGAATGGAAGCTTTCCTAAATTCACAAAGTTTACCTTTAGTGTGATTTTTTTTTTAATGAATGAGGGCTTACTTTTGAATGAAGATATTTCTGCACTTCTTACATTATACAGCTTTTTGTGTATGTCTTACATTATAAAGTAGTCTCTCAAATGCAGATAAGGGATAAAGTTTGAGAGTTTTATCAGATGTAGTACAAAGCTTTCTCTCCAGTAAAAGATAGTTATACTGTACTCATTGGTTTCTCTACAGCATGAATTTTTGCTGCTGAATGAGATCTGTCATGTAGCTAATGTCTTTTCAGTACTTCTTAGAAGCACCAGGTTTCTATCCATCATGACTTCTCAGCTCAATGAAATGTGACATGTGAATAAATGTTTGCCCACATTTATTGCCAGATGCAGTAAATTCATAGGGGTTTTCTCCAGTAGGTATATTCTGCTCAGATGGAGTACAATTTATTTATTTATTTATTATTTATTTATTTATTTTTGTCTTTTTCATTTTTATTGGTATCAGGGGTCGAACTCACGACTGCCTGCTTGCAAGGCAGGCGCTTATGCCACTGAGCTAAATCCCCAGCCCCTGGAGTACAATTTATACTAATATCATTTTCATACTGATTTACATGGGCTGCTATCACAAGCAGTAAGTTCTGCTAGAGGATTTCCAAACTAATAAAATTGATAATTCTTTTCTACAGTTTCCCCCATAATTAAGTCTAACTTGTCTTTTGAACTCAAAATATCAAAAAGATGCTGCCTTAAGACAAATAAGATCTGTGAGTAAAGGAAGATATTTTCCAATTTTCTTATATTCACTGCTTTTTCCTGAGTATGTATTTATTAGAGATGGATTCAACTTTCCTCCAAAGCCTTGCTGTCTGTTTCTAACCTTCTTAGGTTTCTTCTAGATAGATTCTTTCCACTTTTTTCCCCACCATATAGTTTGTCTTTTTGGACTCTTTAAACCTGCTGTTCGGCAGAATGACACAGCACCAGACTATTAATGCTGTAACCAAAATACCATTGTAGAATTCAGGATGGGTACTGGGCCCGTGGGTGTTCTGAAGGACAAAGGAGGTATATTTTCCAGGGCTGTACAAGGAAGTGGTTCTGCAGACAGAGACCAAAATGTCCACATAGCACACTGCTCGTGGACACTCTGAGGGAAAGTGAGCGCTCCCGGAAGTCTGTGTCACAGCTCAGCTCATTCACCTTGACCAGCCAGGTGTAGGCCAAGACATTGCTTACCCTTTATTACCAACGGCACCAGTTTTCTGGCTTTTCATTACATTTCCCTTGCAGTGCTGTGTAGAGTTCTGTATCCCTTATACAAACTTGGCAGCCTCTTGTGAATTTGAGGGTCTTACCATGAGTGGTCCTTTCTTGGACTCAAATGGGCTTAGGCCTACTAGGATGTTTTGCATACTTTTTTGATCACCTTGTTTTCTCAATATGTATAATGACTCCTTAATGTTGTGCAGAGTTTACTTGCGTGTAATATAATTGCTTAATTTAGCTTTTTATTGATGGACCTTTCTACTCGTGTCCTATTAAGTATAGATGCAAGTTTCATGAGATCCAAGACTTATTATAAAATTTAGGGGAGTAAGCATCGTTAGCAATTATGATTCTAAGAAATACCTCAGTAAATACCTCTGTGCACTTGTTGAAGCATGTATAGAGGATACTTTCTATTAGAAGAATTACTTAAGGCAGAATATTAATTAAGAAAATAGACTCAGATTTTCACTGCTTTGGCTCTATTACCAGGCCTTCCATTTGACAAGCTCTGTGACCTTTCCCTAAATCTTTATGTTCTCTGCACCTTTTTTCCTCAAATGCAAATGGAGATAGTAGTAGTTTGTCACAAGAAGCACGTTTAAGTACCTGTTTATAAAGTGCTTTAAAACTGTATCTGGAACTCTGTAAGTGGCAATTATTATGTCATTTAGTAGACTTTTTCTTGCTGTTACTTTATAATATTTAACTATTTTGTGTTACATTACCAAGATGTTTCATTTAAAAATATAAAGAACAAGCCATTAAACAATTGTTACAGCTGCACAGAAAATGTGTATTAACAGCATGATGTGGAATAATAGTTTGAAAATTGCAAACTATTATTACGGTGATTATGTCACCTGTAAATAAACTAAATTAATACAGACTTGCTTATTGTTGTAGCTATGGTGTCCAACAGAATGACACAGGGAATATCTTAAGTAAAGATTCACTTGTATGAATGATGCCTATGTTAAGAAGGTAGAAAATAAGTCAGAAAGACAGAATAAGAAATAGATCATACAGGAAAGAAGAAAAATATAGAACAGAGGAGAAGAAAGTGGAAAAATGTAGGAAGCAGCTTTGTTTTGAACTCACAGTGATGTAATGTGGTTAAGACTGTGCTGACATCCTGGTTTAGATTGATAGTGGAAAGTGATAGTTTCCGAGAGGTCCCTGTGTGTACTGTCTTCATTAAATGAGATCATGTATAAGGCAGGAGCTCTATAAACAGCATCATATATTGTATTATTTGTTTTCTAATTGTAATGTGATAAATATAATTTTATATGATTTTAATGTAATAATGATTTCTTTATATTGTACTTACAATATGAATTCTTCCATGCAAGTCAATTTCCAGATAACAAGATTTGTTTTACCATCATATTCAAAAGCATAGTTTTCCTAAATTTGTTGAAAATACCTTATTTATATTTAAAGGAAAAAATCATCACATTAATCTGACTCTGTTCTATTTGTTCTGGATTATTAGTATAAACATCACTGATTTTGTTTTACTGTATCCTCATACCCTCAGAAACCTATTGAGATTTGTATGGTTTTTTATGTTTTTGTTAATTTAGTGTTTAATAATTAAAAATTAAATTCATTCTTACTGTGAGATTAAAACATTTTAGGTATGAGTCAACTATGAAAGGGTTTTTTTTTTGGGTCAAAAGTCATATAATACTCCAATTCCATGCCTATCAGAGCACTGATTAAAAACTTTTTACTTGTGTAATCTTGTTTTTCTTTTATACATTCACATATAGATACATGCATACAAATATATGCTGATATATATTGCTTGGACTGCCATACAAATTACTAATAGAATTGGATGGCTTTAATAACAGAAATTTACTTCTCAAAATTGTGAAAGCTAAGAAATTATGTGGTCTGTGTATACATATTCATTTTGTGTATAATACTATTTTTAAATCTATATAGAATATTTTTCTACAGTGTTACTATAACATAGGGACTTAGAAATAGCTTACTGTCAAACTGCCACATAATTGAGTCTCACTTTTTTTTTAATTTTAAAGAGAGGAAAACCAAGGAACAGATTAAAATCAATCAAAATAAACCAGAATAAGTGACACAGGACTTCCAACCTTATGAAATCAACAATAGTTACTGTAATGCCTTTGTTGTTTTCAAAGTACTTTAGACATACTAAAAACTGAACAGAATAGAATAGAAACAATAAAAACAAAACAGTGAATGCAATAAAAGACATCAAAAAAAGCTAGTAGTAAATACTTCCATAACATGTCTTGCTAACTTTTAAATAGCTGGTATGCCATCAGAGTTAACATAAACAAAACAAAAGAAAATAAAAACCCAACCCAACAAAACAAATGAAAATGGTATGATTTCTGTGTGGGGATCTCCTCCCATGGGGCCTGGTTCTCTCCCTCTGCAATTGCAGTCTGCAAATGGTGTTGGCTCACAGAGAGAAGCTTGGGTCTGACTCTCCCCAAGCTGGCAGCGTCCCATGTGTGGCACTGGCTTCCGGGTGGGGATCAATTTCCTTTAGGGCCTGATTCTTTCCCTCTGCAGTCTGCCTCACTCTGTTTCCTTTAAAATAAGTTTAATAGTATCTATCTCAGGATTGTGATGAAAGTTAAATGAGATAGCCTATGCAAATTTTAAGTTTGTATTAATTCAGTGCTTACCAAATGCCAGCCGTTAAATATATAGTATGTTGGTTCATTTGTTCCTTAAAACAGTGCTACAAGGCAGTCTTACTATACTGGTATTATCAGTGAGAAAATGGAATTAGCGAGTTTCGTAATTTGTACAAAGCCTCAGACAAAAAGTAGCAAAGCTGGAAGATGAACATATGCTTGTCTGAAAACACAAAACATGGTTTTCCCATTGTATACTTTTGGGATATGACAGGTATATCATTTATTTTTGTTCTCTATTTTGTATTTAGTGCTTTGTTTCCATTTGTCTTTATCTGCTTGAAGAAGTAATACTCCACACCAATACTGACTAAGAGTACTTATTGTGAAAATTGAAATGTTGTTTTCTGTGCCTACCAATAAAGCAACTACTTGAGATATGACTGTTGCAATCACGGAACTGAAATTTCAGTTTTAAGTTAATTGTATGTATCTCTTGTTTTGTTCTTAACCTTGTTTGTTCATAACCTTAGGTGTGTAAATTTTTTTGACATAAAGTTAACATAGTTGATGTATTGATTGATAATGTTGAAATTGTTCATTGTAGGTTGAAAAATTTAGCAGAAGAACTTATACAGACACAGCAGATGCTGTTAAATAAAGAAGAGGCTGTCCTGGAGCTAGAAAAGAGAATTGAAGAATCTTCTAAGTCCTGTATAAAGAAGTCTGAGTGAGTAAAAAAATAAAAAATGTTTTTGAAGGTAGAAAGTTTAATTGATCCAGTTTTACGGAAATATGTCAGTTACATGGTATTATAGGTGTAACATTTCTGAAAATGGAAAGTTTTTTTAAGTTTAAAACTTTATGTAGTTTATTTTCTAGTATTCTGTGAAAGTGACTGTGTTTTTATAAATATACTACAGTGATTTTATGTTTAAAGCAGTTTGAAGTATTTTCTGAGGAATCTTTTGTTAAAAGCTGTCTTTATTTTCTCACATCTATTTTTACCAGAAGCACTGTAAATTTCTTTGCTTAAAAAGTACAGACCAATATTATGTTAGAAATGAGCTTTACTGTGTTAGAAGGGAACAAACAAACTAATTAGCAGATAGCAATCTGTTTTACCTATAAAAGTCTCTTTGAGGTTTCCTGTGATGATTTTTTCTACTGTGGTGTGTCTTACTGATCTTGCTGGGTCCTTTTACTTTATGTTACTAAACTTTTGTGTTTCAAGATGACATCTTTTTTATTGCTTGAAAATAGAAAATTTCACCTAAATTTCAAACTGCTAATCTTACTGGTAGCAGCTTCAGTCTATAATAGTAGTAGTTGGTTTGGTGTCTGTAATCCAGACTCACCCATCTATATTTCTCACTATTATACTCACAAAACTTGTTTGATTTATCAAGGTTCTCAAAGGATTTGTAATGGTTTTTGCTGATCTATACTTGTTCTTACTTTCTGCACAAGTTTTCAAATATCCATTTACTGTATTTCCTTTGTTATATTCAGTGGGTGGATTTCTACATTGCAAAACTAGAAGCATTAATTAGCAGTTGCTTTATTTTTGGAAACTGGCATGCCTAAACCCACCAACTTTAGGACTCATTCTTCTCCTGTATTTTAATTGATGTTGCTTGTCCTCAATCCACTTTATTTATTTCTTGTGACTTTGCTTTTGATATGCTGATACTCCTTATTTTCTCAGAAAATTTACATTATTTACATTATGTATTATGTTTACTTTTTCTTCTCAACTGGTTCTTTGGACTTACTTTTAAATATACTTGTCTAGACTCCAAAAATGAAACAAAACTTAACAATCTTCACCTCCCTGTACTTCCCCAACATCTCCTCCCCATTTTAAAATTAATTTATTTAATTTTGCACTATTATGAATCTGACTTAGAGCCTCCTGCATGCTTGGCAAGTGTTCTATGTTGAACTATACCATCAACCCCCATAACCCTTTATTAATCTCCATATTCTACCGCTCAACTACTGCCTTAGCTTCTGTTGTCTTAAATTTGTTCTAACTGGCCAAAAACTGAAGACCTTTATCTTGAAATCAGGCACAAGACAAGGATGTCCCTTACCTCTGCTCCTATTTAATATAGTACTGGAAATACTAGACAGAGCAATTAGACAAGAGAAAGAAATAAAAGAAGTAAAGATAGGAAAACAAGAAGTTAAATTATCATTATTTGTGGATGACATGATACTCTACGTAGAAGACCCCCAAAACTCCATTGAAAGACTCCTAGATGTAATAAGTAAATTCAGCAATGTAGCTGGATACAAATTCAGTACTCAAAAATCAATAGCATTTCTGTACCCTAACAACAAGATCACAGAGAAATAAGAGAAGCCACACCCTTCACACTAGCAACCAAAAAAATGAAATATTTAGGAATTACCCGCACGAAAGAAATGAAAGATCTATATAGGGAAAATTATGATACACTGAAAAAAGAAATTGAAGAGGATCTCAGAAGGTGGAAAGACATCCCTTGCTCATGGATAGGAAGAATAAATATTGTGAAAATGGCCATTCTCCCAAAACTGTGATACAGATTCAATGCAATCCCAATGAAAATACCTTCAACATACCTCATAGATCTAGAGAAATCACTCCTAAAATTCATCTGGAGCGAGAAGAGACATAGAATAGCAAAGACAGTTCTAAGCAGCAAAGGCAAGGCAGGAGGCATCACAATCCCTGACTTGAAGTTATACTACAAAGCAACTGTAGTAAAATCAACATGGTACTGGAACCAAAACAGACCCGTGGATCAGTGGAATAGATTAGATCAATGGAACAGATTATAAGATACAACCACAACTACAAACACACTCAACCACCTTATCTTTGATAAAGGATCCAAACAGGTTCACTGGAAGAACGACAGTCTCTTTAATAAATGGTGTTGGAAAAACTGGCTCTCCATATGCCAAAAACTAAAACTAGACCCATGTACTAAATTAAAATCTAAATGGATCAAAGATCTGAATATTAAAACAGAAACACTAAATCTATTGGAAGACAAATTTGGTAGAAACCTTGAAGACATAGGGGGGTAGGTAGAGAATTCATTAACAGGACTCAAACCACATGGGAAATACTTCCCAGAATCAATAACTGGGATAACCTCTTATTAAAAAGTTTCTGCATGTCAAAAGAAATCTCCAGCATAGTGAAAAGAAAACCCACAAAGTGGGAAAAAAATCTTAGTGAACCTTAGTGTCCCTCAGACAAAGGACTTCTGTCTAAAACATATAAAGAATTAAAAAAAATCAGACCCCCAAAATCCAAGATCCAATCCAAAAATGGGCATCTGAGATGAATACACACTTCTCAGATGAAGAAATACAAATGGCAAATAAATACATGAAAACATGTTATTTATCATTACTCATTAGAGAAATGCAAATTAAAACCACACTGAGATTCTGTCTCACTCCTGAAAGAATGGCCAGGATCAAGAAAACCACCAACAACAAATGCTGGAGAGGCTGGTGGGGTAAAGGAACTCTCCGGCACTGTTGGATGGGAATGAAGAATGGTGCAACCACTGTGGAGGACAGTTTAGAAATACCTCAAAAAGCTGGGATTGCAAGTCCCATTCAACCCAGCTATTCCACTTCTGGGCATATTCCCAGAATAATTGAAAACATCATACCACAGTGATATATGTGCCCCCATGTTTATAGCAGCACAAGTTGTAAATTAGGAAACAACCTAAGTGTCCATCAACTGAGGAATGGATAAAAAAAGTTGTGATATTTTTATACAATGGAGTACTACTCAGCTATAAAAAAGGATCACATTGAGATATTTATAAATAAATGGGTGCAGCTTGAGATCATACTCATAAGTGAAATAAATCAAACTCATAGGTATAAATACCGAATAGTTTCCCTAGTGTAAGAAATGATAATAATGCATAAAAGTTTGTGGTAATTATGATTCCCCATTATATTGCTTTGAAGCCTTATAATGTTTTCATTCATTAATTGGAATCGTTTTATTTTGGGTTGTTTGATATTATTGTCTGTGATGGTATAAACAGCTATTTTGAAGAAAACAAGACATCATAAAACTAGTGCTGATTTAATATCATCTTGTTTTGAAGTCCCACCAAGCTTTTGTTCTTGTTTTCATTGGTTTCATCATGTTGTATCTTGCTGGATTTTAGTATATGTGATTGTATAAACAAAACTTTTTATAGACAAGGAAATAATATAGAAACCATTGTTCATTTTCTGTTAGTTGGTTCTAAATACCCTGTAATACTTTCATTCTCTTGAATGGTTTTACGCTGTCCTGATAAGTTTGATGTTATAGTATATGAAGATATACTCAAATATTTAAAGGAAATAGACACTATGGTAACTACTGTTATGTTGGGTTATCTTGTGGTCAAACACTATGTTGCTTAAATTTTTCTGTTCTGACCTGTGTTGTTATGCCCTCTTTTATTTTAATCTTCTTTTTTAATTTTTATTTTTTAATAAATAAAAAAATTTTTTTCTACAAATAATTGTGTTCACTCATTTCACTTTCTAGTGAAATTTCTCTTTCTTTCTCTCTCTGTCTCTCTTTATCCTTGCCTTTCCCCTATCACTACAGAAATAGGTGTTTCTTAGATTACCAATGACTTCTACATTGGTATTTAAATGTAGCTACTAGCTTACTTGAACTCTAAAGATTTACTGATTTCATGCTTCTTTTCTTTTTTTGATCATTGGAACTCAGGATGTCAGCTACTCCTCTTTTTTACTCTCTCTCTCTATCTCTATCTCTATCTCTATCTCTATCTCTATCTCTATCTCTTTCTGCAGACACAGATCTCTTGTACTCAGCCAATCCATGTTAGAGTTACTGAAGGCACACCTGAGGCTATGTAACTTTTCCCTAAGTCTTTTCTTAGATATGTTGGAAATGACCCACATTTACTGCTCTCACTCATATTTCTTCCCTGTTTTATATGTGTCTTTGAATGTTTTAGAAGTACCCTATGTTACTCTTGAAATAAAAATCTCAACACAGTCTAAGCCAGCCTCACTTATTTCTGTCTTTATTATTACTTATTTTAGTGAATGACAACGCCATCTATCCAGTTAAACCACGTAGAGTATAAGGAATCCTACTTCTCTTGTTTATAATATAGTTTTTTATACCAATTTTTATTAAATTTCTGTCATAATCAGCTTGAACTTCTATAAAAATATACCATAGACTAGATCGTTTATAACGCCTAGAAACAGAATTTACTTCTCAAAGTTATGGAGGCTGGAGTCCCAAGATCAGGATGTCAACATAGTTGAGTTCTTTAAGATCCTTTTTCAGGGTGCAGACTGCTGTCTTCTCTTTGTATCCTCACATCTCAGAATGTGGGTTGAGAGTTATCCTGAGTATTTTTTAAGGGCATTAATCCTTTTTATAAGGGCCCATGCTCATGACTTAGTTATCACCCAGAAACTCCATTTCCAGATGCCATCATACTGAGGATTAGGATTTCAGCATAGGAATTTTGGCAGCACATAATCATTCCGTTCATTGCAGTAGTGTATTAGAATCAGTGAAGCTTTTAAAGGTAGGAACAGGAAAATTAAAATTACTCTGGACATTCCTTTAATAAATGTGAAAATTTTCAGTATTGCATAATAGGCAATGCAGTTTGAATTATAAACATAAAACAATATTGCACATATGTAATTAAAAGAATA